CAATGGTTCCTTACTTTTAGCATTCAGAATAAAGGCATATTGCTAGCACATCTTCTCATCTCACTGCTTAGCCCTTTTCCACACTGTTCAGAGTATGATGAAAAGCAGTGTCTAACTGCATTCTTGCAGAAATCCATGGACGAACTTTCCAAAACTGATAATTTATCAGGTTCCTATCTTTTAATCTCTTACCTAAAGACCCTCCTTTTCTCATTCCCTGCCTACTTAGTTTCTTTAAAAGCCTCTGAAGCACTTTGGGAAATCTAAGCAACCAGGATCACTCCCTCTCTATGTGTTTGTTAAATTCTTTAGGAACTCAAATAGATTTGTGAGACAGGACACCCCTTTATGGAAAACACATTGATTCTTCCCAGGAATAAAAATACTTGCTGTAGTATCCTCTGAAATTATTATCTACTACAGTTTCTATTATTTTGTTGACAGAGGCCTACAAGCCTCCCCTTCCAAACCTCTACTACAATCTTATTTAATAATTTAGCATTACACTTGCAACTATTTAAGTCACCTGGAGCCCAAGAACAGGAAGCTAAATATAACTGCTAGTATCTACTACTCTCAGTAGAGTTCCTCTCTAATGATGGGGTGAGTATCATCCAATTATTTTCATCTTTATTCTCTAATTTATTTTTATTATTTTTCATTTTGTCCACACCCTGGTACCTTCACCTCAGTTTAGAACAGGTCCCCTGATGAGCCTCCTACAGGGAAACGTTTGGACATGAGAACTTCCTCACCACTGTCCACAATGACCATGAAGGCAAATAATTCCTGTAGCCTTTTTTTTGCTGTCATTATAAATTTCCTAGGTACTTATTTCAAACTACGAGCAGACTTTCTTCTCTAGCATCTACTTTTATTATCTTTGAAGAAAGGAAAACTAGTAATTTCTATTATTTTTAGAAATGCAATGGCAAGGCAGTGAGTACTGCAGTTCTTCATCGGTCCATCTGTTAGAAATGATGCTCCGAGGAACCTCCAAGTCATTTTAAAAAAGCTGTAATTATGGCTTAGACTCCCAGATACATCTAGCAAGAAACACAGAACATATTTAATGGGATTTTTCTGAACACTTGTGTACTTCTGCCTATACCATCTGCTCAGTGAAAATGATGCACAGATCTGCAATACCATCTTACAGATAACACTGGAAAAAGGTTATTTAAAAGGGATCTTGAGATTCTCATCTTTCTTTGGAGAAAGATCAGCCAGTGTGTATGGTTCTCAGGCATAAAAAAAAAAACATTGGAATGATAGAGAATTTAAATTTCACTTGGAAGCAATGATATCAGATAGAGAAAAGCAACTCTTCTTCCTCTTTTGTCTTTATACATCACCCTTGAAACCTAAAAATTATGTGGATGAAATCATATTTCCTCATTTGAAAAAAAAATACATCTCAGCAGCGAAAGCAGTTATTACTAGTTAGTTTTACAAAACAGATACTTTAATCTCTTTATGTTAATATAAAAAGAGTTCAAAGTATTATCAGTATTCCAAAAATCTTTCAGAACTTTTCCAACTATGTATGAAAGGCAGAAACAGAAGGAAAATTAAACACAGAGTAGTACACCTATGAAATCCAAGGTGAATGTAAATATCACTGTTTAATAATTACCTAAACACAGGCTCCCAAATGCCTTGAAAAACAGCAAAACCGGGTCATTGAGTTGCTTCTTAAGCTCTAACTCCGCAAATTGCCTCAGCTGGTGGAAATATTTTTCTTGAGCGTAATATACAATATATGCCTGGAGGGAGGGCACAGAAGAGAAGCACTTTTTCTTTCTAAAATGTGTTAAATATATAATGCTAGAAAGGATACACTAAAGCAATGGAAATACTCTACACAATAGCAGTCAGGTGTGGGGCTTTTCTTGTTGTTGGTTGGTTGGGTTTTTTTCTATTTCTCCCCAGAGATTCGTTGAGGGCACACATTTCAGAAATCAATTAATTTTTTTTAAAAATGGAGCTTTTTCCTTCTTTTTTTTCTCCCCCAAACCAAAAAATGCCTCAAGGCTCTAGCAGTAAGGCAGAATCCGCCTGCGCCTTCGCTGCGAGCTGCCCACACAGGGTCCCAGCCGCCCGGTTCTGCGGGAAGATGGGGGCAGCCTCCTCTGAGGAGGCAGCGGCAGGTCAAGGCCCTTGCCGCCCCCTC